TTTAACAAATTGTTCATCTAAAAAACATGCTGAGGCTCCCGAATCTAATAAAGCAGAGGCTTTGTAATTCTTAGGTCCTAAATATAAGTCTATTATAAAACCAGGAGAGGGTTTTGAGGAGAGGATAGGACCTTCATTAAGAATTGTACAAGGTTCCAGCTGCACGGTCCCTATTGTAGCTGGACGAATCCGTTTTCTGACATGTTGTCTTCTTTGACCGTCGTACCCCTCATTTTATAGTTGCGTCGTTTCTTTGGATAATGTTGAGCAGTGTGCTTAGGTTCTCTGCAATATAAACATAATCCTTCTTGATGACGACGAATCTTTTCTTGCTCAGTTAGGGGTTTAAAACGTACCCCATCAATTTGCATGTCTTCTACTTCCAAATGTACGTTTGGCAAAGATGTTGATGTTGCCATTGAGTAATAATGTTGAGGTTCCCGTGAATGAATCTCAGATCGAAATTTGAAAAGTCGATTATCACATTTTATCGCAAAATCGATTGCTTGACTCAAAGTTTGAGGATTAGGTAAATTGAGCATCAATTTCTTTACTTCGTATTGCAATCCATAAAGAAATTGACTAATGAGTGCAGCATCATCCCACTTGATGTCAATTGCAAGTTGTCAAAATTATGAAGCATACACTGTTACTAAGCGATTTTCTTGTCGCAGAATTCGGATCTTATTTGTTGCAACACGAGTTGCATCGTGTTCACCATACATAGATCGAAACTCCGCCAAAAAAGCTTCCAAATTATCCAATATTGGATTTCGTTGTTCAAGAAAAGACGAAAACCACGATAATGCAGAACCAGAAAGTAGAGTGCCAATAAACCTAACTTGTGATCCTGGAGTTGGATAGCTTTGCGGTTGAAGTTCAATTGCCAATTGTACTTGATTGATGAATCCTCAAAACTTAGATCTCGTACCATCAAATTTCTCGGGTAAGGCAATTCTTGGTTCTCTAGTGCTTACAGGATGTTGTACAATTGGAGAAGGAACGTGATTTGTTGTGGATGTTGAAGTAGCTCCGATCATCTCTATATCTCCACTTTCTGCTATTCTTGTTCTATTCTGTGTTGGTGAATTGAGTTGATGCATTGCAAGCATTAACTCCCTCATTTGCTCTTGCATTTGTGCCATTGCACTCTTCATTTCAACAAGCTTTGCCATAATGACACTAAGAAGAAAAATTTGTTTGATATTGCTCAAGACAAAAGAAAAGAAAGACTTGATAACAAAGAAGATACTAAGAACAATATCAGTTTAGAAGTGGGTAATCCGCAAACTTCTAATACGCTTATGTCTTGTCAAGAGAAAGGGGTAATCCACTCTCACTCAAGAAAAACAAAGCTCTGATATTGTAAGTGTACTCTTGTCAATCTATCAAGGACAAAGACTCGATGAGGGAAAATATACACAAAAAGGCTATCTCAATATAATAAGTCAAAATATAAACAAGTAGGTATATTAAAAGGAAATTGGAATGGCTATTGCCACAAGACAAGAAACTAAAGACTCTTAAACTTGGACTAGAAGCAAGAAAGGAGTTGACAAGAGTGAAGAAGCCTTCACTCTTGTCTCTATATATACTATCTAACTAGGGGCTACGTGGCGACGTTCTATAGGACCTCCAATATGTGTTGACTTTGTAGGACACATGCCTTGACTTACAAGGCAAGTTTTTCTACGTGTGGGCCACATAGTTAGCTTGATCTTCAAGCTAACAACATGTGTGGCACATGGCCAACTTGTTGACCACGTTTCTAATCCAAAAAGTCAATTAAAGACACCTATGAAGTCAAAGCAGCGTCTAGGAAGTTTCTAGGAAGCTTCTATATTAAATATTATAGAATTAACTTACTTTTATCTACTTTTACTTACTTCTACCTATTTCTATATGTAATTATTAGCTTACATGATTATGGCCGTGACAACAATCCAAAGAAATCTACAAGTCCAATTTGAGGAGGATAATCCACAACCTCTAATATCAAATGAAAAATTCCACAAAAAAAGATAGTCTATTCTTTTTTAAAAAAATCACTATTAAGAATCTAGAATTTATTTTGAAGGTGGAAAATCCACAACCTTTAAAATATAATAATAGAAGTGGAATAATCTACTCATTTCTAAAATAAAGTAAAAACATTGAGTTAGCACTCTTGTCAACTATTAAAGACATCAATCTCAAAGAACTAAAAAATCAATACATTCTTGTGTTATTCAAAAAGACTAAAAAATCACTCAAAGGTGATATAATATTAAATTAGAATAGCTATTATTAAAGATAAGAAGATTAGAAAGTCTTGAAATAAAACAATGGAGTTTAAAGTTGTTGACAAGATTGAAGAAGGCTTTACTCTTGCTTCTAAACATACTTTCTAACTTGGAGCTATATGGCATTGTTCTATAAGACCTCCAAAATGTATCCAACTTATAAGACATGTGTTTAACTTATAAGACAAGTTTCTCATATGTGCGCTACATAATTAGCTTGTTCTACAAGCTACTAACATATATAATATGTGGCTAACTTGTTAGCTAGGTTTCTTACCTATTAATCAACTAAAATTATATCTAAAGGCAAATACACATCTATAAAGCTTTTAAAAAGCTTTACCACGAGATAATATCAAATCTATCTACATTTATCTTCTATTCAATGCTTCTTATCTAGGTAAATATGTATGTTCATGACAAATATCTTCTAATTTGTTTGTGAGCCTTTCTATCAAATGTTTGTCTTTGAAACAAGATTTTGGATGCCAACCTTGTATATATATGTTTTATTTTATGGAACTAGGTTGTGTTTAAAAGAAAGTCCTTTTGTTTTTTGAAATGATTGTTTTAAAAATATTATGCATTATTTGGCTAATTAATGTAGATTGTGTTGGCAAGCATTATGTCAATTCTTTTTGCATTCTACAAGAAAATTGTAGTAGATATTATAGACGACAAAATGCATGCATTTGTTGCAATGGATGCAAGGATTAGGATCATAGTCACAAATATCAAGCAATATGATGTTGAGATGATATAAACTATTATTTCATTTATAAGAGCAAAAAAAACATGGTGCAAAAATTCATCCATTCTATGTTGATAATCTCATCTTCTAAAGAATTTATTACATTGGTTCATTTTATAAGAAAGACAAATTCACTACCATTTTTCTTAGATAGAAAATATTTTTTATAATTGGCCATTATGTTTATTTGAATGTGCCAAAAATAATGTAAAATCTTCAATATAGAAAAAACATCTTCAATAGCATTTATGAGTTCTAAGTCTTTGTCAACACCAATATTAAAAGATTGCAATATTCTATACAATAGAAGAAGTTGTATCAATGCTTAGTACAAAAATAATTATATTTTTTCTTAGAGAAATGCAATGACAAGTATGAAGGATGTATTGATACTTGTGACATCTATAACATGTAGCATGAATATTTTAAATCTATTTATTTTGTATGTGCAATCTATAACTATAATATATGGATATATTTTTGTAAGTTATACAAATCTAAGATGACCAAAAACTAAACAACTTACCTTGTTTGTCTCATTGTATTTGTATATATATTAATATGTAATGTTACAAAGATTTTCTATTATAATATAAATAGACAAATGACTATAATAGGTGAGCTTAACTAAGACATTGATGCTTATTGTAGATAGTGTACTCAACTACTAAACTTGCAAAGTCCTCTTAGTATACTGTAGTGACAACATTCCTTTGAGCTATCCTTATAACAAGCATCTAAACAATTAATATTTTTTGTGCAAGTTGAAAGTAACAAGCAATTGAATATTCTATTAGTAATGTGAATAGACCATAATTATGACTTCTTTTTTGAACAAGCAAAAGTGAGCATTTGTGTATATACAAATAATGAGCATACAATTCAAATAGACAACTTCTTAGCTACATAGTTGAACTATGCTAAAAAAATAAATTTGCCTCAAATCTATTAGAAGTATGACCTTTGTCATATTTAAAGACAATATGGCCCTTGTCAAAGCAATGTCAAAAAACTTTATAACCTTGAGTATGTATAAGTTGATTTAGGCATCTCTTCATGTCTTTGTATGTATCAAATGACTTCTTTTGGTGGAGGGTCCATATTGAGTGCAATTTCGAATTTGGAATGGAACAATCCAAAAGTAGCTTATATACTATCTCCCTTCTTAGATAAAAGATTGAATAACAATAAATTGCAAAACTAAGATTTGTGAAGTATAACAAGGTGGAGCTGAATTTTGCAAATTTAGAGTAGCAATGATGTAGGCAATACAAACATTATGAACATATAACAATCAATTATTACCATTTAATATGTTTGTCAAATTAGAAATGTTTTATTGGTCATATCTTTATGGATGTACAATTTTCACACACATATTAATTATGATTAATTCAAAAGATCTTAAAATGATATTTATAGTAATACATTGAAACTTGACAATCTATTCCTTAATTTTATTTTTATATGGGTACTATTGTAATTAGATAATTATATATTTTTTTCTTGATTCTAACGATGGATGGATTGAATTATATGCTAGTGGGGTTGATTTAACATTCCCATAAAATCAATATAATGTATAAAATTGATTAATCAACAAAACAATTATTTTCAAATCAAAATCCGTATATAAATTAAATTAATGTTAAAAAGTTAAAACATATAACTATATAATCTAACTATAACTATTTTTAAAAAATAACATATATGTTTTTTTATTTTTTTCTTCAAGAACTCACTTACACAACATCACATATCATTCTTCATGGGGAGTACAAACAATAAAAGAAGAATTAATTTCATAAATATTGAAATACCAATACCATGTTTATGCACTGTCTTATCACGAATTTTCAGTGAAGAGAATGCTTACTTTAGAGCCTATTCATTTGTTTATTTATATCACTTTGCTTGAATTCAACGCAAGGGGCCAAGGCGAGGGTTCTTGAAAGCCAGGCACATTGGGAGGCGCTGGTCCCGAACCTCTTTCACCAAACCGAGCCCGATAGGATTAGGGTTTGAGGCCTCGCCGTGGAGCTGGTTGTTCGCCCTTTGCACCAACTCTCACCATCGCTTGCATCCACACCCCGTCGCCCTTGCTCCGCTACCATGGCGGACGTCCACCATGACGAGCCCGCGCCGGAGTTCAAGGAGGATGTCGGCACCGAGGTAGAGTTTCCTTTCCCTTTTTTCTGTGAGGTTTTGTGGATTTGGGCCCGTTTCCAGCTGGGCAAAGTGCTTTGATGCTTGTTAGGGTTTGAAAGGGGTTTCTGCTGTAGGAAGCGAGGCGAGGGCGTGGGAGAGAGGGGTGGCTGGTGCGGGGTTGAGTGAGATTGCTGAGAGATTAGAGCAAGTTTTCTTAGGACGAGACCTTATGGGTTTAGGGTTTTGCTTGAGCAGATTGGTGCTTTTGACCCCACGAAGAAAAAGAAGAAGAAGAAAGTGCGCACGCAAGAAGACGAGGAGCCTGAACCTGTGAAGGAAATTGCTTCCGAAGGAGGTTTGGATTCGGCTTTTGTTGGTCTGAAGAAGAAGAAGAAGAAGAAACCTGTAAGTTGCACGATCGTTGATTTAGAAATGGATATGGATGGGCTAGGGTTGGAGGTTTAGCTTCTTGGAGAATTATCTCTGCGCTGTCTTATCGAGCTCCCTGTCTTGAACTTCTGAGTGACGCTTTTGAGCTCTCAGCAAATTGTCCGGTTTGGAAATACTGTTTTGTCAATTTTTTATGAAAATTTTTCAGGTGTCTTCTACGCCGCTGTCTGAACGTTTATTTCTATTTTTGTTTCAATTTTTAAAAATCGGACATAATTGCTGTAATCAGGTCGAAGGTGAAGCTGCGGAAGAAGATAACGCGGGTACTGAAGACGAAGCCAATGGTTGGTGCTTACTCTGCCTCTAAGATCAGATGCAAATCACTGTATAATGGAACAACTTGTATTGATGTTCGCAAATGAAATAGTGATTGGAGGCTTAGTGCTTATTCGTATTTAGGTGTGGATGCGTTTCACTCGAAATCTTCGTCTATGAGCATGGCAACCACTATTAAAATTCTAATTTCAAGACTCTGATACCTGATACAGATCTCGGTGAGGTGGATGACGAAGAACCTGCTGTGGGTATCGAACTGGGAGTTGCTGTCTATCCTTGGGAAGGAACAGATCGGGATTATAAGTATGAAGAGGTATGGCTTTATGAATTAATCGACAAATTTTTTATCTTGTAATATGATACGGATATTTTTCGTGGCATTACCTGGCTTGTATTTTACATTCTGAGCTTACTTTTTAGAAAATCTTTGGGACACCAAGTTAATTAGTAAACTTCCTCCTGTGTAAATTATTTTGTGGTTGTCTGCAGCTGTTAGGGCGGGTGTTCAACATTTTGAGAGAAAACAACCCGGAGTTATCTGCGGAGAGGAGGCGTACAATTATGAGACCTCCTCAGGTTTTGAGGGAAGGAACCAAGAAGACTGTTTTTGCCAATTTCATGGATCTTTGCAAGACGTATGTATCTTCACCTCCCTAGGCTTCTCTTAGGTTTTAAGCGACTAGTGACTCGTCTTTTTTCGTGTTCAGAAGGGCGGGGCTCTCAGAAAATCTTATTCATTCGTCTAGTTATCTGGTATTTTGAAGTTTGTAAATCTGAGACTAAGCGCAATATGAATGGTTTGATTTTTACCCGCGTAAAACTTGTTGTTGTGCAGCATGCATCGGCAACCAGAGCACGTTATGGCTTTCTTGTTAGCCGAGTTGGGTACTAGTGGATCACTCGATGGACAACAGCGTCTTGTTGTGAAAGGGCGATTTGCTCCCAAGGTGTTCGAGGGTATTCTGAGGCGCTACGTCAGTAAGATTCTTTATGCTTGTTTTCTACGAGGTTTTCATTTGAAGAAATTCAGAGAGAACATAGTAGCTGATGTCCTTTCGTTTATGAACTTCTGCCCCTTATGATAGCGATTTTTACCTCCTAAGTATGAGATCGCAGTTTTTTTTGTATACCTTTATCTGAAAAGGAAGTGGAAAGGTTATTCTTACTTGCACCTGATTGTGTTGCAGACGAGTACGTCATGTGCAATGGTTGCAAGAGCCCTGATACCATTCTTTCCAAGGAGAATCGGCTGTTCTTCCTTCGTTGTGAACAGGTAAGTAATTCTCAATTTTGTGGCTTTTTCTATTTCGGTGGTTGTTTATACTTGTACAATTTCTACTTTCTTTTATTTAGACACCTCTATTTTGTGCTCTTCTTTTTTAATGCAAGACACAGTCTTTGTTTCGTGATATTATTTATACGGACATGACCGATGGGTTGCTTGTCAACAGTGTGGATGCTCGCGATCAGTGGCACCTATCAAAGCTGGTTTCGTTGCCAGGGTTGGACGCCGTAAGACAACTACGTAGTGGGTGTTTCCTAGACATAAGTGAAGTGACAGTTGGAATGTATGTTATGAATAGCTGGATCATCTGTTTCCGAGTAGTTGTAATTTGTGCAGAGCGTATCCTAAACAAGTCAGAATTCTATTTTTCATTTTATATGTATGCATGTGGTCATGACTTTTCATTAGGCTTTCAGCGTTTGTATTTCCCTGATGGCGTCAATTTTGCCTCCCTTAGCAGCGTCGTGACACAAAAGTTTTGTTTATATTTAGTGTTCATCAAATTTGTGAGCATGGAAGCGGTACAATAAGATCAATTTACTTGATTCTTGTAGACTATGGGAATCTATGGATCTAATGGGATAGTGTTTTGGCACCATTTTCTTTTACCTTTATTTATTTATTTATTTATTTTGTCATCAATTTCTCTATCAATATTAGTTTTTTTCGCAAATCAATACGTCATTTGAAAGTGCATACAAGGAAACTGACGTAGAAGCATATTCTTTTATTTATTATCACAAATCATAAACCTTTGCTTCTCAATGTTGATCAAAGCGCCCTATGTTTCGTGACACCAAACTCTATCAACAGAATAATATTACGCAACTATAAACCATATTTACTAAGAAACCGCTCTAGCTTAAATGTTTATTTTTGTATTTAGATTGAACTAATTCTTCGACAATTTGTGAATCGAACATCTATTTTTTCATTTTATTTCTGACAAAAACAAACCCCGAAGTAAAAATCTCAATCATGTAAAATATGCTTAAAACCACAAAAATACTCAAAATATAACGAACATTTCTGCACGCATGTCCTAAATTCTTCACGACCCCCCACATACCCACTACAGATCTTCAACAACTTTTAGAAAACACTATAAAGTTGGCAAAGGGATGCACCATTTTTACAGCCACAAACACCAGTCAAAAAACGGAAGACAGTTTCTTGCACAAAAATAAAGGATGACAATATTTAGACAAGCTCTGTAGTTCCGAGTGTAAGAAGCGACATGCCTCATCTTGATTACTGCATTGCTTTTGGCTTCGATGTTTGCTTAGTTTGCAGGGGGAATTGGTGCTGACGCTGGATTAAAGGAATTCGTGGAGCTTCGCGATTCTAGTTTACGAGTACATATTTCCATTTCCCTCAGTTTTGTTGCTGCCTGTGACGCTTCTGCCCTTGGACATTAAGAAGAAGCTGCCTATTGTCACGTCCTGGCAGGAGCTCGACTGGGGTGAGTTCAGGCGGGGACCCAATGACAATAGCAGCTCCTTGGCTGTTAAAGATGGCGTGACGATCGACCGAAACTCTTGATTGCTGCTACTTTTGCCCTTGTGCTTGGAAACAAACAGGTATCGACGTCTCCCACGAAAAATCCTGCTGTAGGTTCTGAAATTCCAACTCCGCAGTTCTTGCTGGTGGACAGCTACGAATCGGTCTACACTAAGTCATTCGTCCTGCCTCAGTCATATATTCTTGCAAAACCTGGTGGGTACAGCGCTAACCACCAATTTGCACGTCTTGAGGACTTCGTTCGTGTGAGGGAGCGTTGCTGATAGCTTAGTCCACAGACTGGGTTTTATGGTCTTAGCAGAAGCGTATCTATGATATATTTTAGTATATCGTGGCACTTAGTAATTTGATATGTAATAGATCTAGGGCAGGTAGTAACAAACTTTGCAAATTTGCTTTAACATGCTCAAATGATTAGAACAGACAGAATACTCTGCCACACAGGCTGCTCTTTCAGTAAACGATCCAAGTCCATTCAACGTGTTCAGACTGAGGGAAAAGATTCACCGCCCTCACACTTGGATTGTAAGGACTTCATCTCGCTATGTATTGTCTAATTGAACAATGCATTTACCTTCTGCATTGCACAAGTCATTAATCCTGGGATAATCTAGCGTGCTCGTTACTTGTAGTGCTTTCACAATGGTTTCTGTTGTCTGCTGTCTCCCATCTGATCAGAAGTAGTTAAGGACGGCTGTCCTTGCATATACAATGTACAGGATTGTACAGTTTTTTTCTGTTCTGTGCATGATCATTTCGAAGGACAAGTAATATGCATTGTAATTCGGCACTCTTTAACGACCCATCTCAGGATCCATTCAAGAGCTAATTTAATCTTATTGTTACTACTGTAGGTTACCATAAATCAAGTTCTACGCTGGGACGTCTGATTACCAGTTTTCGATATGCACATTTCATTTCATGTTCGTTTACATTTTCATTCGTGTGAAATGAGTGATTCAAGTGACGACAACACAAATAAAATGGAACCACCCTGGTTAGAGTAGCATTCATTGGAGGCAAAGTTACATGGGTTCTGATGACTGGAAATTCCAGAGGCTACTCTAGAAAAGTACGAACACTACATCGAAATAAAGGGGACTTCGTAAGGAATGGTGCAAATAATGCCGCAATCGGGAAGGCGTAAATGTATCACCTTCTCACAATTGACCAATCTTCTCAACAGATTCGTCGCTGAGGAGCTTGGCAGCTGAAACAGCAAATAAAGTGATGGACAACTATGTGTGAACGCCCAACTCTCACATTGCCCTATACTAGGAAATATTCAAGACAGAAAAATGACCAGTATAGTGGTAGGAGGTCGCAAAAGATTATTGTAGTGTTCATAATTGATGGAAAGGATTGACAATCAACCTCCGAAGCAGCAGCGGAAAGCGGAGAGAGATGACCGAGTGAGAGGACTTGGAGAAAGCCGGCTCGTTTTACCCATCAGCTCCTCCCGCTCTGCTGCTTTAGCAGATCGCTGGTTGCGAGCTGCCTCGACAGCGGCTCGCATTTCTGCGGCCTTTTTGGCTATGAACGCCAACCTGCCTTTCATCTTCTCTGTGGCGTCTGCGAGTATGTTCTCAGCTTTCGTCTGCAAGGACAGTGTATCGTTAATTTTTTCAATACATATGAGTTGACAAGGAGATTTGTGAGACACACAGTAGCTAGTTAATGAAGGCCATGAAGTCGAGAGTACCTGTGTCAACTTCATCTCAGCATCAGCTTGAGCTTTCTGGAGTTCTTCCCAAGCCTTAATCTTAGCTTCTTTGGTTTTAAATCTGCCAATTCCAAGCAATTTTGTATTAGTCAACAATTCAACCAGGTTCGTAGCTTGAGGGCCAGACGGGCTGCAACGCAAAACTTGAGAAAAGGATTTCAACCTCTTGGTAGATTTTTCTCGCTCCACCTCTTCCCACTCGGTGGCTTTGGTAGCCAACTTGACTTTCTCCATATCTTCTGGGTCTTCTCGCAGGCTTGCAGCGCACTGGAGATCTTCCTCCTCGCGAGTTGTCCAAACCAAGCTTCTATCTAGAGCAGGCTGCTCATCTCCCGTTACCTTCTTGAGTTCCAGTTTTACTGTGTGGAAGCTCTGAAGCTCAAGCGCATCAACTACCCTGGGAATGGCACCAAGAGAAGAAGCCTGTCTTCTTGTACGGATGTCCTCCGCAGCATCAGAGACCATAAGTCCACTGGCGGGTGCTACCCAGGTTGAATGTGTGGTCATGTCTGTGCAGCTTGCTAGGTTGGAATTTACGACAAGATCTGGAGCCACAGGGGCTGTAGTTACCTCCTTCACTGCTCCTGTATGTGAATGCTTCGCTGGCTGGGTGTCCTGTAAGTCCTTGGATGGCATATCTACCATCTGTGCCTTAACAATCGGACGTTTTTCTCTCGATATTGCATGCTGCGCTGGCGAAGTCTTTTTCGGGTTCAGAGCTGCAGGCTTGGCATTGATAGAGGGTTGAAGTTGGGCGCCCTCGGAAACCGACTTTGATTTCTTACCGCCAGCATTCCTTTTGGATTTTTCCTGTTTCTCAGCCTGAACAGGAGAATGCTTCGGAGAAGGATCGAATCTTGGTGAGAAATCACTGAACGAGAGCGCTTTGGTCCGTTTCTTCAAAGATGTGGTCGTCTGTTTCGGACCACTGTCGACTTTGCCAGCATTTAGGAATGCATTATTGAGTTGCGGAGATTTCTTTCCTAAAGGGGCTGCGTGATCGACACTGCTCACTCCATAATGTGAACGTAAAGTCTGAGCTCCTGTAATTGAATGCCTTCTGCCAGCCACTATTCAAAGATGCTGGTTAAAATCCTGACACCAATCCTCACACGCGAGACAACACGCACAGAAGATCGAGCTCCACGGCTTTTTTTGTCACATCTTAGCATTAGAGACGCTCGTGAACCACCTGACAGTACAAGATGGCGTTAGACATTAAGCTTACTTGCTGAAAGACCCTGCAGTGGCTGGTGCTGGAATTTCGCAGGAGATTCGCGATGAACAGGACTGACAATCCATTTCTCGGCGTCGTCCCACTTGGACGGAGGAGGCTTCGGAATCATGCTGCTCATGAGCGGACCAGACAGGAACCGGTGCTGAGAACGGAGCCGCATATGTGCATCTTCACCACACCAGCAGTCCACAGTTCAGGTCTGTCTCAAACTCACAGAATCAACGAAAGAGAACTAGCGACATATTATAAGACTTCGTTATGGACGGTGAAGGGATCTTTACCTGTCGAGCTTGCAGGGCTAACATATCCCGTCCCTTTCTGGACTTCAGGGCTTGTGGAGGGGCAGGAATGGGTATTGTTCGTGGGGAGTGTCTCTGAGTTCCCTTGCCAGCCCGGGAAGAAACGCAAAGGAGTCCCTGGATACCCAAAGTTGGCCGCGGCACCTTGACCCACAGACCTAGTCTTGGCGGAATCCACTCTATCCAGTGATTTTTCATTCGAAGAAAGCTCCCCTGAGAATGTCGGCTGGGAGTTGGGATCCCTGCGTCGGGCTTCCCTTTCGGATACTGTGATGTAGCGCCTATTGGAAGAGGTCGATGAATCTGACAACTCACTAGATTGACGAACCTGAACCTCGTCTTCTGCAACGCGCTCCGATGCTGTAGTGGGCTTTTGGGAAAATCTTCTCTCGCTCGTGTGCGCGTCACGAGTTTGTCTTTTGGCAGCTTCCTGATTTTTTGCTCTGGAAATTGGATTGTTTCGTGGAGCAACTAAAGAACGAGGACCAGAGCGGTGAATACTTGAATTACCCCCAGAGCGTTCGGCTAATACTGTGATGGCAGCTGGCAGTGGTATTTGTCGAGGTGATTTCACAGTCGGAGCAAAGGGAATTCGGCATTTCGGTTCACTACTTCCTATCTTGCTAGCAGTGGGATCAGATGCATTTGCAGCCTCAAGCATCACAGGATGCAGATTTTCTTTTGGCAATGACACCACGAATTGGAAACTCTCGTTCTGTTCCATGACGCGTAGATTCGTCAGCGACCTCCAATTAGACTGATAAAAGGTTAATCACCACAAAACTTTAGTGACGGAGCAATGTTATGGTTGATCAATTCATGTAAAGAACTTACCTTGTCAAGCTCTCGAGAAGTCCCGGTGAAGTCCAAACTGGACGCAGGTTCCCCAAATTCTCCATCCGAGGGTCGGTAGCTTCGACCTCGGCCAGCGTGGCTCTTAGGACTTTTTTCAGAGTGTGAGATAGTACGACGTTCGGCGCTGCTAGACGACGACGATCCCGGACTAACGAAGCGCATATCGGTTATAACGGATTTTGGACTCGGGTTTCTGTTGTTGTTCTTGGTCTCCAGGCGCGGTGTCACGGGGTTCCGAATCGAAGTGAACCGTGGGATGGACAGTGAAGTCAGCTCCGGTGGTTCGGGGAAAGCCATACTGCTTCACATTCCCGTCCGGATTGGAAGCAGATTTCGATCGAAAAACAGCTAGAATCGCAAAATCTCATGTCAGAAAGTCCGCGCGTTCAACACCCAATGTCCATGGTCACTGAGAACACCATTATTTCACTCTGATCTCAAAATAAAAAGACTCTTCGGATTCTACTATGGGCCTTACGAAGCAGCTAATCTCCTAACCGGTAGCGTTCTAAATCTTCGCAGCATCCATTGTCATTGCATCTCTCCTCCTGTTACAATGGTTCCCTCAAACCTTTGAAGAGAACCAATGGTCGCCATCCTTGAAGCAGGCTCCTATGCTGAAGCGCAAATGTAAGAACTATCACACCAGGAATTGTAAACCATCGATGCCAACGCAAATAACCTATTTCCAGAAGAGATAAAAAGGGTAGTCGCTGGTAGGCCAGCACGCCCTCAATCGTCACTCAAACAGTCCAGAAAATGCTCTCTATCGACAACTGCTCTCCCGCCCAGAATCAAACTAGTTCTACCAGTACATCCAATGATGCACACTGGGTGCTCACCGCGCTTCCTGCAAGATTGAATCGATGCTCCAACGCCTGCTTCCCTCCAACCTGACCACACCTTTCGCTAAGTCCCACCATTAGTAACGCTACCCGAGAGAGAGCTCAACTTCAACGCAGGTGGCCTCACTGCAACCCCAAGCACGGTTATCGATGAGAGGAGCCCCGACCAGACGCATTAATTCCTCATTCGCATCCTCCACGTACATAGCTGCATGCCAGGAGCGAAACCCGCTGGTGACTGGCACACCACAAGACTCGCTCCAAGTTCAGACCCCAAACGCAAGATTGGCGCCCAGGCATCAGTGTGTGGATCTATTCCAGGTTATTTTTACCCACAAAGCAGGTCGATCAGTGAGCGCAGAAAGTCCACGAAAGAATCCATGGTGGACCCAACTTGAAGGGTATTCGTTATCTTATTCTTATCTTAGAAACTGAGTCGCAGCAATGGCTGCATCTGACCAGACTTGTAAATATGGCTCTTCCCACATACTCCCCGCTTCGTCTCCCGCCGAGTGCAAATCAGCTCCCTACATGAGCCCAAGGGCATGAATGAGATTAGCAGGGTCGGATCCTGTGCCGTGATTGTTGAGACTGGGGAGATCCCAGCCGAGTGATTCATGCCATGCCTTTAATCAAATGGGATTCACCCGCTGCTTTTTTCTGCTTTTCCCTGCGACCTCAGCCTCCGAATTCATTACCTGGGGTTGACTTCGACAATCTAGTTCGCATCCTACGACAATGATAATGTTTTTTGTGACTTTGTGCATGTTTTTCTGCTCGTCTTGCTTCTTCTACTTCTCCCGAAGGTCTCCTTTTGCTGGATTTCACCGCTTGCTTGTGTCTCATTTCATACTCTGCGTAGTTTTTTTGATGATGTTGAAACTCTATAAGAATGCCACCTTCACAAGTACTCACTTTTCCAAATCGTGTTATGGTTTCGTTTTGATTGGATTGGTCTTGGTTAGGTTTTAGCTGATGAGTGGCATTTAGTAATAGATTTGAAGGGAAATGAACATTGTAGTGGTAATATCATATTTGAAAACAAAATCTTTGACCATTATGTGACGTTCCAACTTTTATTGGTTTCAAATGCTACATAATATTTAAGAGGTACTAAGGAGAATGATCAAATTAATAGATTGATTAAGATTACTGCCATCACAAAATAATCTTAAAATGACATTTATTACACTTAGTTTTTTCAAAGAAATAGTATTTTTAATTAATTTTATGTTATTTTTGTATGAATTTTTATATAAAAAAATACTAGCTTATACTTTGTAGAATAATTTTGTATGGATAACTACATTATAATAATATCACAAGTAATTTACATAAGAATAGAATATGATTTTAATAATTTCTTTGTACAATCATAGAATAATTGTTGTATTATTCTTTGTTGTCAATTATTTATTTATTAATATTAGATATTTTATCTATAATTATTTATATAATTTAAAATAGATATTAAATTGACTCTTCTAAATCTTAAATCAATCTATTGTTAATAAAATATAATTTTTATTTCTACTAGACTAAATGTTAATTATTTGGTACATATTATCAACAAAATATATGTAATTTTATTTATTATAATTTGATTCAACATATACTAGACATTGAAGACATGTTCAAGAATTATATCTCCACAACTAATAGATTAAACATATTTTAGACAAGTGAATTTTAATATTACTAGAAATTAATAATAATAATAATAGTATTTTTTTTATTTTAAACTACAAAGATTTCCAATGTATTGATACTTCAAATCAAACAATAAGTTGATTTGGCCATTATTGCCTTAAGGTTGTTTTTAGCTGATCTTGGTTTCTTTACAATGTAAGATTTTCTAGGCTAAATGACATGTTTGTTAAATCAAATAAACAAACTTTGGACATCTTCTTGTTACTGAGGTATTAATACTTTTTATATATTGCTTATGGCAAAAAAAGAAATTTAATCGTTTGTGGTACTATTTTATGAATATGCAAAATATCTTACATCATTATAGCTACACCAATTGTCAAGGACAAGAACTCGATGAAAAAATAATTCAGACAAGTGAGCCTTCACTCAAAGAGAGGTAACAAAATATATATAAACAAGTATATATATTGAAAGAGGAACTGGAATGGCTATTGCCAAAAGACAAGAAAACTAGAGACCCTTGAAACTAGACTAGAAGCAAGAAAGGAGTTGACAAGAGTGAAGAAGCCTTCACTCTTGTTTCTATATATACTATCTAACTAAGAGCTACGTGGCGACATTCTATAGGACCTCCAATATGTGTTGACTTTGTAGGACACATGCCTTGACTTACAAGGCAAGTTTTTCTACATGTGGGCTACATAGTTAGCTTGATCTTCAAGCTAACAACATGTGTGGCACATGGCTAACTTGTTGACCACGTTTCTAATCCAAAAAGTCAATTAAAGACACCTATGAAGTCAAAGCAGTATCTAGGAAGTTTCTAGGAAGCTTCTATATTAAATATTATAGAATTAACTTACTTTTACCTACTTTTACTTACTTCTACCTATTTCTATATGTAATTATTAGCTTATATGATTATAGCCATGACATTACCCCCCCTTCTAGGGACGAGTTCCACAAGGAGCGGTCATCATATGTTGAGGAAATCTATGATGCGACGAATTATATTTGCCACATACTCTGATCTTTGTTCTCTTCGAAGATGATTGATACGGCCTCTCAACCATCGGTAGTGTCCCATACCAGGGCGAGAAGACCACCCAGTTATTTGATCATTGTTAAGGCCTTCGTAACTTCCTTCGAATAAAATATTTGGAACACCATCAGGAGTTGTTCCTACCTCTAGTAAAATCACCAAACATCGAGAGTCCCTTCCCAAATCGTGATACCAAACGCGTTGTATCTCACCATCTATTCGAGGAAGAATATGTCGTTCTTGAAGATGTTCATCTCGATTGCATCGTCTTGAAGGTTGTGACAATCGTAATGTCTCATCCGGTAGGTCAACAAATGAAGGCTCTTGAGTTGAATCCGTTGGTTGTTGGTTCTCCATCTCCTGAGCGCCACTACTACAATGAAGCTACGAACAAGAATTGAAAGTAGAATGTTATCTTGCCTAGATGTTGTTTCTTTTATAAAGAAGGTTTTCATCTTAATTTTGATGGATATCGTCGATGAAAAGCCTCCACTGCCTTTGCTGCATTTGCAAGATTCTTTATTGGCTCCCATGTGCGTTCACTAATACCATATCCGCACCAATGGACAAGATATTCTAATTTATTTCGGCGCCGCCTTGAATCTAAGACTTCTTCTACTTCAAACTCTTCATTATTGTCCACTTCTATAGGATGAGGTGGAGCTTGTCGTCTTCTTAGTATGTCCACTATCTTGTATGGTTCAAGAAGAGAAACGTGGAATATTGGATGGATTTTCATTGACTCTGGAAGATTTAAATGATATGCAACTGGATTGATTTGTGTAGAAATAGAAAATAGTCCCAGCCTTCGATAGTCCAACTTGTCACAAGGACGAGTGGTCTTGATATTGCGACGAAGTAGCCATACCTTATCACCTAAGACGAATGATGGTTGTTCCTTTCGATAGACATCCGCATTGGCCTTTTGTTGTTCTTGAGCCTCTTTTAACTGCGCCTTCATCGTTGCATGTAGTTCTGATAAATGAATTGCCAAATCTTTTGCAGCAGGATTATCAACTTTTGAAAAGTCAAAAGTATCAAGTCGTGGATGATAACCATAATTAGCAAAGAAAGGTGTTTGTTTTGTAGAAGAGTGTACCGTGTTATTGTAAGCAAACTCTGCCAATGGCAAAAGAGTTGTCCAATCATCTTGTTGGTAATTATTGGTACATCTTAAATATTGCTCCAAAACTTGATTAACATGCTCCGTTTGTCGATCAATTTGAGGATGGAATGCCGAAGATAGTTTTATATCCACTTTTAGAATCTTGAAAAGAGTTCGCCAAAATCTTGATACAAATTGAGTTCCCCTATCTAATATAATATCCTTGGATAATCCATGATAGTGATAGATATTGTCAAGAAAGAGCTTTGGTGTTTCTTCACCTGTGATAGATTTTGTACATGGTACAAAATGTACCATCTTGGTAAAACGATCTACTATCACGAATATAGAGTCATAAGAACCTGAGATTGGAAGATCCGTAATGAAGTCCATAGAAAAAAAAGACCATAGTTGTTCTGGAATGGATAATGGCTGAAGAAGTCCGTAAGGTTGATGACAAGGAGTTTTTGATCTTGAGCAAACATCACATGATTATACAAAATCTTTGATTGCCTTCTATATTTGTGGCTACCAAAAATCCCTAGATATCAGCTCCAAAGTCTTATTGTATCGAAAATGTCATACTGCTGGGAAGTCGTGACGAGCTTGAAGAATAAGTAAACGTACTTTTCCTTCTAGAACATATAGGCATCCTTCGAAATAGAGTAGGTTGTTCTTGAACTCGAATTTAGAGGGATCATGAGATTTAGAAGAATTATTCTTGATATCATGAATAAGAGGGTCTGAAGACATACTTAATTCGACTTGCTTGAGAAAAGTTAAATCAACAATCAATGTTGATTTTATTGCTCGAAGATGAAATTGCTCCAGCTTAAAGAGAATCATTCTTTATTGCTCAAAAGTTACATCTCCTTCTTTTGGTACAAGATAAGAATGTTTAGACAAGGCATCAAACAAACCTTGTTGTTTTCCTGGCTGATAAGTGATGATGAACTCGAATCCTGATAAAGACATACTTCAACGAGCTTGATGACGATTTAATATGCATGTTGACATGAAATACTCGAGATTCTTGTGACCCATATATATATGGTGACTGGACTAGAAGTGCCTTCTAGATAATGATGCCATTCTTGAAAAGAATCCATAATTGCAAGAAGTTCTTTGTCATGGATCTCATAATTGATTTCTGTTGTGGAGAATTTTTTTGAATGAAAGGCTACTGGATGAAGTTCATCATCTGTTCCCATTTGAGACAAAATTGCACACAGAGTAAAGTCTAATGCATCTGTTTTCATAAAGAATGCTTTAAAAAAGTCAACACGATACAAGATTGGTGTAGAAACAAACGCTATCTTCAAAGATTGAAAAGCAACTTCCGCTTCTTGATTCCATTGGAGTTTGTCTTTACAAGTCAAATATGTAAGTGGAGCTGCAACTTGAGAGAAGTCTTTAATGAAGATCTAATAGTAGTTGATAAATCTCAAAAAGCATTGGACATTTCTTATCGTTTTTGGGATCTTCCAA